GACGAAGAAGGCCGGCAGCAACCAAGGAAGACAGCTGGTGTCAGCCTCGGACCTTTACATGCACGCATACACACACATGTGCACTTGCATACACATGTGTACCCACAGATGAGAACTTGCACACACACCTCTACTCAAACCACACACACATTTGTATGAGAGAAAGGCATTTCAAAGGCCCGAATGTATGTGTATAAGGCTGAGAGCCCTGACTTTTGGTTTAGGTCTCAGCCATGTAATGGCAAACAACAGAAAGACAGGGAACAAGTTGCTCTCTCTTTTGGAGCTTGTACCAAATTTCAGGGCCCAGTGGCAAAGCAGATCGATGTCTCCTTTACAGATCTGGAGGCTGAACTTGGAAGTGCCCTCTTGGAACTGTCCTGGCAAACAAGGAAGACAGCATGCTTGTGGCCTAGCAAAGCCTCAGCAAATGCTAGATTCCAGGAACTTGCCTGCCAAATACCTGCCCAGTCCTTCTTATTATGTGTTCTAAGATGAACTGAGGCATTAGGTAAGAAGGCGTCCAGTGGGTGTTGCTCAATTATCATCATGATTATCTTGGGGACATAAGGATACTGAGCAGGGAGATACTCTTCTCCTGGGCTCCTTGGGTAACAAGTGATTGGATTTGAAAGAGCATCTTCCATTAAATTAAAAAAAAAACAGCCAGATTTGCATTCTTGTTTTAAAAAAGCTGAGCCTCTCAGAAATAAAACAGGATGGGTTCGTTACACAGTGAGGATTAATTAGCTGTCGGGTATTATTAAATGTCCCTACTCTCAAGACCCACGTGGAATTGGATACTGTGAAAATGAGCAAGTGGTAATCATCGTGGGGGTGGCTGGGTGGGAGACACAATCACTGGCGGTGCAGATTTCAAGAGCTGAACATTGGTAGATAACAGTCTGATTGATGTCATATCGGAGCGCTCTCTGGTGGGGTCATGGTTCTGAACCCAGCTAGGGCTGCTGGTGGTTGTGGTTTTCTGTTTGTTGTTTTCAGCTTCTTTCTCCATCAGGATCGAAAAGGAAGGGAGAATGGCCCTGCTGGAGCTTTACATGAAATGGGTGCTATTTTAAGGCCTCAGAGTGAGGAGTTGAGTGAAACATGGGTAAAATAATTTTACAGCAAATATGTCTCCAAAATTATTATAATTACAGCTCACATGATTGAAAAGTAACAAGAGCTCCAAAAAAAAAAAAAACCAACACAATTTTAAGGGGGTTGGTGGATGTTAGAACCCAGTGACCACCGACCCTGGTGTTTTAACAAAATCCAGTGTCAGGTGTCAAAAATGCAAATTGGGTCTCAGAATGAGAATTTTCCCCCAACCCTCTGCTTGGCAGCTTAAACATAAGGCAACAAATAAACAAACAAACAAGAAAACCAAAACCAAAAAATGGAGTGCCTTGTCCAGCGCCACACCCCTGTTACTAACAACTGGAGTTTGAATTGTTATTTTCTAACTGGCAACCACACCTTGGGGCCTCTGTCAGGGTGATGGGGGGTGGGGGGCTCTTCATTAGCATCATTGTCTTGCCACAGTCGCTCTCTACTTCAGTGGGAATGTAAAAAGACCTTCTTTCCTCCCTCATTGGGATGGAGCCTCCAAGGGGTTAGGCACAGATATCCGGAATCCCACAGCATGTCCTTGGCAATGGGGAGCCATAGTGGGCACTACAGATGGCCTCTGAAAAATTTCATGCACGTAGCAAACAAAGGCAGATGTATCAGTTAACACATTAAAGATAATTTCAGAGGCACCAAAACGCATTGATGTCACATTAAGAAATGAAAACAAAGTACTTCCCCCTTGGAATAATTTGATCAAGACTGAGCCCAAATTTAAATTTTTCGCTTCTCTCCCTGAATCTTCCATCTGTCTGTAGCTTGTGGTTACTGATCTGTCTGTTGTATGTATGTGTGTACATGTGCCTGATGTCTGTCTGTCCCTCAAAAAGAGGGGTTTCTTTGTCATTATTGAACAGCACAGAAAATGTGGCATGGGAAAGAGAAGAGGGAACTTGACAGAAATATTTTACTGAATTTTACAAGGGCCCAACTGATCCAGAACAGCAAATAATACTGCAGATGTTATCAACCTAAACCCATTTTGCTTCCAACATTTATGGTGGATGTTTGCTTTTTAAAGTTGCTTTCAGCCCATTGGCTGCTTCCAGCAAATGATTACCACAGCACACACATACACAGAGGCATTACTCTGGGCCCAGAGCATAGAAAAGTATATAATTTAAGATTGGCTATGCTTTAGTTTTGGTTCTAAAAGATGATTATGTGGGCAATCCAAGGCATAGTAAGATTGTGTACATTGCTCTCTTAAAGACAGGCTAACCTTAAACAGGTCAAGTTACATAGGACATCAGGTAAGGAAATAGTCTGAAATGGTCACAAGGTATATTAACTTTGTTTCTAGGCCTGGAAAGGATTAGTCTCTTTGAATGCAAGAGATGTTTTCAGAACAATGTATCACTACAGGCAGAGTCCTTGGCAGAACTCAGGGGCAACTAGTTCATTTGTTTTCATCCCAGGATTGCCAGGTCCCAGGGGACAAAAGACAGTCTTAATTCCTGTCCTATTTCCAGCAAGGTGCTTACTACTTAATCCGTAAGTAACGTATGGAATGAATACAACAAAAGCATGACTTTCGTTCTCTCTCACATGCACATATAGGCCTGCTTTCAAGGAGGGTCAGAAAAGTGATGATGCTGACTCGGGTGCTGATGGTGAGGATGCTGATGGTAATGATGGTGACGATAGTACCCCCCAGGTACTGCATGGGGGAAGCTCTGGGTCTCTCATCAGAACTCCAGTGAAGAGGGACCACTGTCATCTGTGTCCTCACTGATGAAGTCATGATGAAGATAGGTCACCGGAGATACAAGGTTTCAAGCCAAAGGCCCACCATCAGCAGCCAGAGTTGAGTAGGGTCATACTTTCCACCCTCTTCAGCCCACCAGGACCTTCCTAGCCATCATTATACTTTTCTGTACTCTCCTAAACCTCTGCACTTTTACGATGGCAGGGCAAGGTGAAACCTCCCCAGCCTGGTCTCATGCAGGAATGGGGAAGTGGCATCAAGACACAGCAACCAATGTGTGTGCTCAGGAGGAACACAACTAAAGACACGGTGCCCATCAGTACGGGAAGCCCCAGAAGCCTAGCACTGGGGCCAGTAGTATTGGAAAGCGTTTGATGAATTAAATAGATGGATAAATGAATGGACCTGTGAGCTGATAATCACAACGCTCACTTTTGCTTTTGGAGCTAGCATGAGACCCTTTCTCTCCACCCACACATGTTTTCCCGCTGCCTCTCTTTCAGGTTTCGTCCTCTGGCATCTGGAAGCACACAGTTTACAGTTCTAAAGTTCTGTGGGGGTTAGAACTGGTCCTGGTATGTCCTTGCTTTACTGTTTACACTAAACAGATTCAAAACGAACGATCCAGTCTTAAACCACTTTTACCTACAGCTAGAGCAGCGGTCCTCAACCTGTGGGTCTCGACCCCTTTTGGGGTCGAATGACCATTCCACAGGGGTCTCCTAAGAGCACTGGAAAACACAGGTATTTACATTATGATTTATAACAGTAGCAAAATTACAGTTATGAAGGAGCAATGAAATAATTTTATGTTCGGGGGTCACCACACCATGGAAAGCTGTATTACAGGGTTGGAGCATCAGGAAGGGTGAGAACTACTGCACTAGACAGTCTTCTCTTAGTGGCCCATTTTTAGAAATCTATTGTCCTAGCACCTCCCCCCGAGGCCCTTCCTGGCCTCCAGAACCAAATGCCATTTCTTTCTCCTTTGGACAAACTCCCAATCTCCATCTGTACATTTGTCTTACTCTGTGCAAACTGAGGACCGTTTGAGTGTGAGTCTTGCAATGGCTCTCTCCTTACCAGGCCGTGCACATCTGGACAGCCCTAAGAAGCCATCTAGACAGAGAGCACAGTCTACACACGTGCCATGTGTAATAGCAACAGGGGAAGGGTCTTTCTCCTTTACTAGTTCACAGACAACAGGACTTCTGACCAGTGTTGCAGGGGGAGATTGGAAAAGAAACCTGTCGGACTGAAGTTCAAAAGCATTAGGCGAATGCTGTGTGTTGAATGCAGTTTCTCCCCAGAGGCTCACGTGTGGAAGGCCTGGTCGTCATGTGACTGAGGACCTAATCACCAAAGGTGACTGGATCAAACAGGCTCTCTTCAACCATGCTCAATCTCTTGTTGGGTTCATAATTTGATGGAATTTATTGGAAGAGGGGGCCTGGCTGGAGAGAGGAGGTCTAAGGACGTGTCTTTGGAGGGTATCTTTTCTCTGACTCCATCCTATCTGTCTGTCCCTTTGTGTTTGGACCACTATGAAGTGAGTCCCCTCTATACATGCCATTACTGCTATTACTGCTTCCTTAGCACAGCCTGAAGGCAATGGACTCAGCTGGCCCTGGAAAAAAATCTCCAAAACTGTGGGCTAAAATAAACAATTTGTCCTTCAAATAGTTTCTGTCAGATAAAATAGTACAGGAACATCTGACAAATACAATAGCCGGGTAAGGTTCTGATAAGTGGCAGAATTTGAACCCAGGTCTGTTAGATACAGATGCTTGGGTTCTCCTGAACAAACCTTCCAACCCGGCAGCCTCGTGCCCCTTCTGCCAACTACAGAAGGTGTTCAAGACATGCTAGATAATGTAAATAGACAGGCGACGAATACAGCAACGGATGTGTGGCCATGTGGCAAGTCCTTAGGGACAAAGGAGAGGCATGGATTTGTAGTCATTAGGGCCTGGCACTTTTCCCATCCCTCCATCTGCCACCAGACACGAGCAGGCTGGGGCTCTGCCCAGTGCCTTCAACCACATATTATAGTTGTAATTTGCTGCTGTGGCAAGCACGTGCCCAATTCTAGAGGGGCGTTCCCCTGCCCCTGGTAACCCAGGCTGCCAAAAGGCATGGCTGGAACAGCCACGCCACTCACCCGCAGGGTCGTGATGGTAGCAGGATCCCGGAGCCGGCCTTCCTCATCTTTCAGGTTGTAGCCTTCTGGCCTCTTATCACGCTCACTGACTTTCCACAGCTTCACAGTTTTATCTGTGGAAGGCAACCAGAAGTAAGGATGGCAGGACAAGGAAGTCTCTTCTGGGGATGGGAGATGGGGTGGTGGTGGCCAAGGTAATGGTGGCAAGATGGGCTATAGGAGTCAGCTCTCGAAAGTGCTGTTCAGCATCCCAGGCCATGTGAAGGAAAATTCACAAGGTAAGACAGAAACACAGACAATGTTGGAACAAATGGCTTTCTCTGATGACATATTGTGAAACATATATTTTACATTTTAATTTGACTCATTCAATATTGACTGAAGCTGAATAAGAATAGTCACATAGGTAGAGTTCACTGTGTAACTGTTAGTACATGGAAATGAATATAATGTTCATGATCTCTCTGGACAGTAACCATCTCTATTTTTAGCATCCACACTTCTTAGACACTAGAAGTTTCTGTTTTTCCTGGTCCCGCAGCCATTCAGTCCCAAAGAAACACATAAAGGTTTATAACAATTATAAACTGTTTAGCCTATTAGCTCAGGCTTATTCTTAACTAACTCTTACAGCTTAAAGTAATCCATAATTCTTGTCTATGTTTATCCATGTGACTTGGTACCTTTTCTCAATAAGACATTCTCATCTTACTTCTTCTGCATCTGGCTGGGAACTGCGTCTCTACCTTTGCTCTTCCCAGAATTTTCTTAGTCTGGTCGCCCCGCCTATACTTCCTGCCTGGCTACTGGCCTATCAGTGTCTTATTAAATTAATAAGAATGACAAATCTTTACAATGTACAAGAGCATTATCCCACATCAGGTCCTCACCATGCCCCCCAAATCCCTTCATAACCTTGCACTCTTGACTTCCTCAACCCTCTTGTATTGCTGACTACCCTGTTCCCAAACTCCCTGTGCTACTGTCATGTGGCTTCTTTCTATGCCTACGACAATAAGCACACTTCTCAGGGCCTTTGAACCTACTGTGCCTTCTGCCAGGAAAGTCCTTTGCTTGCTTGCTCTTCTATCTATCTATCTATCTATCTATCTATCTATCTATCTATCTATCTATCTATCTATCTATCTATCTATCATCTATCTAATCTAATCTATCTGGCACTGAGGGTTAAACCCAGGACCTGTAGATGCTCCAAAAGTTCTCTGCCATTGAATTACCTCCCCGGGCTCCATGACCTTTTCACATGACTCACTCATTTTTTATGCTCCAGCCTCAGAGTAGCTTATATAGAGCCCATATAAAAATGACTGCATTCTAATTCTCCATTCTTTATTCTATTCTCTCTTTGTCCTTGGCCACTTGCTTTGACCTTCCATCCTCTCTCTCCTTCTTTTCTTCCGTATAGTATAGACTATATGGAATACTATCAATTGTCTAAGCTGGTCAATAATTTATTTATTTATCTATCACTAGAAATTTCTGGAGTTTTATCTGTCATGTTCATCACTGTAATTCCAGTATTTAGAGGTACCTAGGATATCGTTGAGGCTCAATAACATCAATATTCATTATCAAATATATATTGGTCTGAATGTGAATAGATCTCCTCTCTATAAGAGTGTACTTTTATAATATTTAGGGAAAAATGATGTAGAGATAAAACAAAAATGCTTTTATCAGGCGGAGGGCATAACTCAGTTGCTTGGCATATACAAAGCCCTGAGCGCCAGTCCCTCCATCTCTCCTCTCCTCTTCTCTCCTCTCCTCTTCTCTCCTCTCCCCTCCTCTCTTTTCTTCTCCTTCCCTCTGTTCTTCCATCCATCCTCTCTCTTTTCTTGCTGCTTCCTGATAGTTTCAGAATATAAACTAAAGTCTAGACTGCCGTTACCTTGCATCCCTTGATGACACCTGCTCTTTTCCACAGCACTGAAACAAACATGAGAACTCCAATGCCTCCAGGTGCTGATAGCTCAGGGTAATGATAGAGGTGAACTGGGACTCTGGAGAGCTGGCAAGGGATGCTCCACCCAGGATTCCAATTCTGTATTTTTAGAAGATATGTTTTGGCTAAGTCAGTCTTGTCTGTGCGCCATATGGCCTTGAACACCTTCCTTATCAGATCACACATTTGCAGTCTGTGCTTGTCTTTACCTTTCCTTCTGAGAAGCAGGGACGCACGTGATTCCTCTGGATTTGTCTCTGTTGGGCAGGATTTGGTGTGAGAGACTGTAGGGTTTAGTTCTCACTACTGCCTTAGACAGCTGTTAGGTCTCAAACCCAGGACAAACAGCTGAGATGCCTATTGGCATAAGAAAGCAAATTCTGGCTGCCATGTTCTTCCAGCACCCTTTAGTTCTTACCTGTTACAGGGTCCTCCTGGCTAGCATACCCTGTCTCTACCCTGAATTCTCCAGCCTGGGGATGGGCTCTCCCTTCTCCTAGGTCCTCTGGCTTCCATATAACTCAAGTCATTTTGGCTGTACCAGTCTCTTGGCCCAGGTTGTCACCTCTTGGTCAGTGACTCCTTTTTGGCCCCTCTTCTCTCCTCCCAGCTCAGTCTGGTCATGTTCATGCTAGATTCTCCTAGATGTCTCTGCCTCTGTTTCTGGCTGTTTTCTCCCTCATATCTACAATAAATCTCCTCCACCACACCAAGGAAGAATTATGTCCTTCTCTCTCTCCCCTCCCCGCATCTCTCTTTTTTTCAATCAACAGCCACATGGCCAAGGACTGTGGTCCTTGTAAGAAGGTACACACAAAACAATCCTGTGGATTGTAAGGAGATGAGGGCGTGCAGAGTGCCCGCTTCAATCTCAGTTCAGTATACATACATTCACATATTTCTATATTACACAGTTGTCGCTCTGCACTCTGCTTTATTCATACACTGGTAGAAATGCCATCTTTCTTATGGGAGTCTTAGGATAAAATGAATCAGCATGTTTAACTTCTCAAAATGGTGTCTAAACAGCAGCTGTCATTAGAATTAGCAACGCCGAGCCACAACTCGACAGTAATAACAGGGTACGCTCTTGCCTTGAGCGTCGTCCCACAAGGATGTCTACACATCTGTGTCTTCTGGGGGAGAAAAGCTGACCCTCTAAACTGCTTTTCATGGGATTCTTTGGCCTTCTGTCCTGTCTCATTTCTCCACTACTCACCAGGCTCCACACTACCACCTCCCAATTCTTCACCTCTAGGAGGACCACTCTTGCCAGCAAAGACACACGGTCTCACAGTAGTTCACACCTTCACGCCTCGTTCTTAGAGATCTCAAAAGTACTGTTCTGTGGGCTCTCAGCAGCAGTAGTGATCTTTTAGTGAAAACCCATCTCCATACACGTGGATATTATTTGGGCTCCCAAGCCCATCCTCTCACGATTGGCGAGGCTGCTCCTTGCAGAATCCATAATTCTCATCTAAGTGCTCACCCTGACTTATGTTGGGAGGAGGGCCTCTCCAAGTTGTGGGCTTAATTTAGAACTTGCTAGCTCTGTGCTCACTTCCCTCTTGTCCCAAGTTCTCTTGAGACCCTGCTCATGTGAAGTTGCTTTTTTAGAGTGAGAAGGTTAAACATGGACCGTATTTATGCAGTCACTTGGTCTGCTCTTCATCAGCTGTGGCTGAGAACAACCCACGAGCCAGTGAATTTAATCACCAAATACTTGCTGTTGTTTGTCTTTGGAGCGTGTCCAAATTTAGTTACTTGCAAGGCATTTTATCTTGTATTTTATATTCTAAATGATTAATTGCCTTAGAGAAAAATAGAAATCACAGGTAAAACACAGGGATAAAAGTTGCCTATATGACCTCCAGTTAGGGATAAACCATAATCAACATTCTGTATATATTGCTTTTGATTTTTGGATGGGGTTTCCCTGTGTAGCTCTGGCTATGCTGGAACAGAGACCTCCTTCATCAGCCTGCCTAGTGCTGGGATTAAGGATGTGCTCCACCATGGCCATCTCTTGTGCATACTCCTATATTTTCTGTATGCAGTATTTTGGGGCAAGGAACTATAACAATAGTATGTATTTACAATAACGTTTTGCATTTAATCAGTTTCTTTCTTTTATTATATAAGAGGTACATGCCATTGTAATTGGAAAGTGAGAATGACCAGAAAAGTTAGAAAAGAAAAACTTCCCTCAGTTCCAGCGGACTAAGATTATGGTGTACATTTCCTGTAGTCTTCCACTATTTCCTGGCTTAAGTTTTCTAATAAGCCTTATACTATATAGGTGATATCTGAATTTTACCCAATTGTATATTTATACCAACAGCCATTAACATACTGTGTTTACAGATGCTATTACATGTAATCTAGTACTCTCTAAGATATATAATTTGTAGTAAGAATCTGTTAACAACTAAAAGTCTAACAGTAGGAGACTTATTATTAAGATACAGAAGACTGAAATCACATGAGGAAATAATATGACGTCATTAAAACAGAAGAATCAGACCATACAAGGAAGTAATATGTAGTCATTAAAAATTATACAGTATTTTAATAAAATATCGGTCAGGAAAATATTCTTTCTTCTGTATTATTAAATTTAACAACCTGCTTTAAAAACACCTTGTAGAAGAGATCATACTTCTGTTAATAGCACATTATTTATATCTTTTTCTTTCCATAAGAGACATGAATAGTAGTTCTCCCTGTACCTGAACACATATTGTCTTTGCTTTGTGTCTGGGTATTTTTTTAATTTTCACAATGAGCACCAAAGTGCTCTGCCTGACACAAGCAGTCAGGCAGGAGAAGTAACCCAAGCAGAGCAATGTGTCTTTGTGTGGCAGATCACTTCAAGGTCTATTTCACTATGGAATGCTCGCTTTATTTGTCTTTAAAAGTTATGACGCTAAGGACATGGTCTAGTAGAATTAGTAGCTATACTCAACTAATGAGATAGGCACCCTTCCCTCCAAAAAGATAATTGTTGGAGAATTCAATCCAGTTCCCCAAGGTTGTGCTGCCTGGGGTCATACTTGCCTATATTATCACAGCATTCTCATTTGATTCAGAATCTTGAAGCTTTGTAGGGGAAAAAAAAAAGAACTCCAAGAAGCATGCAGCTGTGACTATGAGAAATGGCTTTTCCTTTCTCTTGCCTTGTTCTCTGAGTAGTTTATCATCACTTGTGGAGGCTTTAAACACAACCTTATCATTTATCTTCATTTTCTCTTTTATATAGTAATTCCCATTGTCTTCCATTAATTTTTGAATGTTAACCTATTTGGCTTAGGGGAAGATTTTCAACCTTAATATTAGTATAGAAAAGAAAACTGCATATGAACATGGGAATTTTTCTTAGAAGAGTCATTTTGAGAAGCAATTGGCATTTGAAATAGCATCCCAAATGGGAAGATAATATCCTTGTTAATCAAAAAACTATTTAAAAACTCAATTAACAGAACATTATGCCATATAATTAATCTTCATTGAATTTCACTCTCTTTCCCATCCCCCCCTACAAAGTAGTTAATAAGCCTTTAGATTTTATTGCAATAATCAATAGGCTAAATTTCATAATATAATATAACCTAGCTATGGAAGACATTCAGACACTTCTCCGATACTGAAGTAATTACATGAAAACCCACCATAAGTCTCTTTCACAGTAACGTGTGACAACAGAGTCTTTGAGTGAGACTTGAACAGAAAGGAAAATCACAAGAGAATAAATGGAAATAAGATGAGGTGATTTGGCCTCCAAGAGATCAGGGTTGCAAAGAGTAAACAGAACAATTAAAGCAGTTATGAGAAGGAATGAAATTAACTGGAATCTTAAAAAAAAAAACAGAGACATAGACACCTGATCATACTGAGGCACGCTTGAATCACTCCCAAACAGCTAATCAAGAATGGTCACATTTCAGATCTGTACCTGGCTTTAGATTTGAGAGATTGGCGGGCCATCTGCTTTACATTCTCTCTCTCTCCTTTTTTTCTATAAGATTGACCTATGACTCACTGTATATACTTTCAAAATTAGAAATGATAAAAGGGTCAAATTTACAAGTGACCCACAGTACACAGTCAAGGCTTAGTAATGGGACGCCCTTGACTGTGTGTCTTTCTCTTCTTTAAAAAGAACATATGCCTGATCGTGTTATAGACATTGCCTGCATTTTTCTGTACTTGATGGGAGACTCTTAAGAGACATAGAAGCATGTACTCATCACAGACTCACACGCATGATGAAATGAGTCATTCTTCGACTCTTTGCTTGGGCAGCGGTCTGTAATTCTCTCTTAATCCTCATGTTCCCCTTTCCCGTTAGCATTCTTCAGTAGTGACTGAATTTCAAACTGGTTTTGGAATTTTTTTTAACCCCCAAGAAAGGGGTTAAAATCCTGAATGCAGGCAACTTCATTCCCGGAGTGAATATGTGACCTTGCTTAATTCACCTGTCAGCACCCTTTCTTCTCTATTGGTATTAATTCTCCCTAAACCTATAGAACATGGAGACTTTGACGGCAGATAAAAAGACTTTTTCTTGATCAGTTTTAGGGAGCATTCCCAGCTCCTCTGGTCTTGTGCTCCCGGTCCAGAACTTGATTTTCTCAGATACACAGACATCTGCTTTGCAGGCCCGAAAATATATTCAGGGATTAATAACTATTTTTCAAAATGCCGACGGCATGTCGAGTTTCCTGAAATGCATTCCCAGAATAACATGTGATGAATCTTAAGACAGGAAGTCACACCCCTCAAACACCTGCAAGCAATCTCCATTAGGAAACTGCAGATAACGGGTTCCACAAAAATTGGGTCATAAATTGGATATTTATAAAAAGAATAGCTACTATTTACTGAGTCCAACTCTGCGTGCACCATGAATTTTGCTAAATATCTTGCAAACAGGGTTTCTAAGTTTTTCACAAGCCCTCAAGGGATGGAGGAACATTGAAGTTAAGAGAGTTTTACAGGTCTGGTTGACTGTCTCTGAAAATGTCAAACATGAAAAAAAATCACTTCCACATACCGTTGGTAGACAGAAGAAAGTAAGCTGCATTCTGCTGAGGAAGCCATCTTATCTTATTGATTTTTTCTTCTATCTCTAAACTCTTCAGGTAATCGAACTCGGGTTCATGGCTCTGGAATGTGCTGTAAACATTGTATTCACCCCTACGGTGAACCTGGTTTTTACTCTGTAGGACGGTAGAACACACATAGAAAATTAAGACCATTTAAAGCAAGTGCCAACTCTTTTTTTCCCTCTGAGCAAAGCGGTTGGGGTGGGCTGGCAGGCTACATCACAGCATGGGGAGGCCAAGATCATAGCAGTCATAGATTTAGCTTTAGTGTACTGGTCCCCAAAGCATTCACTCTGTTGGCAAATAACAGAACATACACACACACCACACACACATACACACATTTATAAATTATATCTTTAAACTATATTAACACAAAGTATATACTGTAACATATACATAGAAACAGAAGGTGCCAGATGTGGTGGTGCACAACTTTAATCCCAGCACTTGGGAGGGAAAGGCAGGTAGATCTCTGAATTGGAGGCCAGTCTGGTCTACAAAGAGAGTTCCAGGACAGCCAGGGCTGTTACACAAAGAAACCCTGTCAAAAAACAAACAGACAAACAAACAAACAAAAAAGAAAAGAAAAGGAAAGGAAACAAGTTAAAATAGGATAAGACTTTGCAATCAATATAAATAGAAGATCTAATATTCAAATCTGCATTTCAAGAAATGCTGATGCTCACACATACTTATAATAATCCCTATGAAAGGTATATAGCTGTGGCAATTTTCAATGCTCACGGGATCTCTGAGACATAGGCAGACCTGAGAGAGGGACCCTAGAGGCTCAGGCCTGTAGGTGACTCTTCCAAGGTCACACAGCAATTGTGGAGCGGATTTGGACATTGTTTCCTCTCACCTCCATATTTATCCAGGGTCCTGATGAAAGGGCCATCTGCACATGAGTGCCATCTGCATCAGGAGGAGAATGATGGGCTTTACCTAGTCTTTCCCCTAGCACTAATTATGCAAAGTGCAAACAGCAGGAACTAAATAAATGATGAGACACAGGAGCACAAAGCCAAGGGCCTGAAGTTACAGGAAAAGGTGGAGAGGAGGAAAAAGCCTCTTGCAGAGACAGAGGGAAAAAGAGACAATAGGGAAGATGGACGGCAGGTATTGTAGAACCGTGCCACCCAAAGTCTTGAGATTTGGCTTTGAAAAATCTGTTCAAACATTAAAATTTGGGTTTCATTCAACATATTTTAAATCGAAGTTTGATCTTTAAAGAAAAGGGTCCATTTCAAATATATGATCCTAAACCGAAACAGGACACCCGGAGGCATGTCTCAGCTTGCCTAGAAGTGGGTACTTCTGCCGAGCCTCGCGGTGTGCAGACACTGAGGACTGAGGTCCTTTGGAGCAGCTTTGGCGGGAGTGATAACACTATTATTAAAGACTCACTGGCCTCAAATGATGCCACATGGCTTTTGTCAGACAAGCCATGTATGTGTCTGAGCCCCAAACTCCGCAGAAGCCGAACACTGAACTCCATGATCTCATCCTCGCTGACGTTTGTGTTCCGGTGAACCCACCCATCCTGCTTTGGAAGGTGTGCCTCCCGCCCCCCATCATTCTCCTAATGAGTCAGGCTTCCCAAATTTCCCAGTAAATGAGAATAGGTGAAACCTATAAATAGTTAGCAGGAAATGTGGGGTGGAATATTACTGGCGACATGCAGCCTTGGGTAATTTATGCTAAATAGCTCTTCCAGTTCCCCTTAATCATAGCTGTGAACCTAATTGGATTTTTTTTTTTTAAATTGGAGATTTGAAAATCAGTTTTCAAAGGACTTCAGATGCTGACACCCTCGATGCTCTCCTGCTAACTCACAGAGGACTGGTCCACCTTAACAAAAAAATTCTAAGAGGGTTGATTTGCTACCATCCAAATCAGACTGTCAAGTGTGTGTAGCATGTGCCAGACCAATTAGCACCAGACAGCTCTGGAAAAAGCAGGAAAAATTCCAGGTCACGAAGAGCGATTTAGTTCTTACTTGCCAACTACATTTTCATGTTTCTGGGGCCAACGTAATAGGCCGGGTGCCTGATTTAATGCTGAGTACTTGAATTTACACAGAACCCCGAGGGATTATGAAGCCCTTATAGAAATTAATTGCAAATAACGTGCAATTACCAAATATATCACCCCTAAATGAGGCTTTCCTCTTTGGAGGGGGAGGTGTAATGCAAATGCCTAGGAGGCAGAAAGCGGGCATTAAATTGCCAGGGAAGTCTCTTGTGAAGTCCTCCTCTTAACACCGGGCCTCCCCCGCACCTCCCCAGTGCCCAGGGAATCTCGGAGGAAGACAGTGGCAGATGGGAGAGGGGCTAGAAGACACACTACCCTGCTGGCAGGGCTAGAGTGTGCCAGCAGAGGGCAAGGAAACCAAACTGGGCCATTCCGAGAAAACAGAGACAGGCCTGGGAGGGGGAGCATCCTCAACTCCTGCGGGAAAGAGAGGATTTCTAGTGGAACCCAAGCCCCAGGAAGAAACCAGCCCCAGACGTGGCATGAGAGACTATACCCAGCACCACACTAACGTGCCATCTGTTGGGCCGAGACGCCCTTTGGAAGGACTTCACCCTTTTGGCGGGCTGAGCACCATTCTCTTTATTGACCCGGCATGCCCTCCTTACAGCTGTTGTCAAATAAAGCTATTTTCCTCTCCCAGATGTATTCTGGCAGTACCTGAAATGAAGGGAGATGGGATTTCAACACCCGGAGGACAGATCCCAAGACAACAGCTGGAGTTTGCTCCTCCAGAAGCACCTGTGGAATTGTGCAGGTCAGATGAGAACAGCTGCTGCTTCCCAACATTCACTATGCAGAAGGAGCAGGCCCTGCCCGGGGAGAGCCCTCTTAGGGGTGCTTTTGTGAGCTTGAACTTAGAACTGCGGATGCTAATGACTTTTTGGCAGTTTTACTTTGGTGAGCAAAGTGGCAAGGCAAGGTTAAGGGCGACAGACACGTGAGGATTAAGGCACAGTGGGAGGCCTCCTCTTAAAAAAGGGAAGAAAATGAGAATTTCCAATTGGCTGACACTTACCTCCTGTTCTCGCTGAAATATTACAACCCGACCCCCCTTGTCCCCAGTCGCTAGTAACTCTCCCGTGTGGTTGAATTCTACCGTAGAGATAATGTCAGCTGAAAAGAAGAAGACAAAAGCAATTTGAGTAACGGCACACTTACTTCGAAAGGGTAGATAATAGACACACTTTCCTGTGCATTTAAGGGCTTAGGGCTCCGGCTGTGCGGTGGAATTTACAGGGCTTTATGTTCTGCATTTTAAGTACCACTTTAAGCAGCAGTTGGGAAAGCGAATTTCCTAGGTGCCCCCACCGCACTCTGGGCTGCTCCGGGAACATCTGAGGCGAACAGAGGGGCAAGGCGTGTTCACACCCTTTGTTTTGCGGAAGAGACAGTGATTTTTTTTTTCTCATGGAACTGGCGGCTTTTCTTTACTAACTTTCACCGTCCACAGGCCCCTATTTCCACTCTAGGAAGTCCCCACACAGGTGTTAGTGGGGCGGTCGGGGCTGGCTCTGATCACTGAGGGAAGCAGCCTGAGGATGTCGGTGCTGATGCCAAGCACAGAGAGCACAGGGGTCGCTGGGATAGCTCATTAGCGCTGCTCTGACTTCACCCAGGCTCCCCCTCTTGCCTAAGCCCAGAACCTCACCTGGTGATCACTCCCTTTTTCCAGGACAGAGTACTGGGAGGCAGTGTCACCAGGCCAGAGAAAGGGGCGGGCGCTAGGGACTCAGAGCATCCTTAAGTGGAGAAGGAAGATCAGCTTGAATGCGGGTCACCCCGGTGGCGCCAAGACGGGAATCACCCACGACTGGATTTATTAGGGCTAGCTTTTGAAACAATGTCTGGGGTTCATTTCCCCACTATCTTTCCCCCACATGATGTCAGCAATTGGAGGGAACAAATGAGCTTAGAGATAAGGAGGAAGGAGCCTCAAAGAGAAAGGAAAGGAAGAAGAACAAAAGAGGCAAAGGATTGTGATCAAGCCTCTGACTGGGGCACTGGCTGAAGCTTGAACCTGTGACAGCAAGGGCAAGGGCAAGGTGAAAAACCACGGCAACGGTACCTAAGAACTCAAGTCTCATCTCTTACTTGTGCATCATCATTTTAGGATGCTCCCGGTATGCCGGCTTTAGTTAGATACACGACATAAAATTCCCCACCTGACAGCAATGTCTTTTCCATATATGAAAATATTCTTAATGCTCGCCCTTTGTGCAGAATGAGAGAGAATCATATATTTTCATTTTATTTTGACTCCATCAGTAGTCAGTTCAAACTCGACAGGGCAAAGAACATGGAGAAAGCAGTCCCTTTGAAGGAGCAGGTGCAACACAGCACGTGCCGTCTGAGTGCCTCAGTCTTTAAGGAATTAGCACCCAGACATCTATATCTTAATGTAAACACCTCGAATTCTATATACTGACGATATATTTTTTTCAACATATGACAGTAGAAATAATTTTTTCCTGGGTCTCTCTGGGTAGTCCAGGTTTGACCTGATGTCAGAGATATTGCAGATCAGTCTCCAACTTGACAGCTTCCTGCTTTCCGCTTCCTGATATCTGGGGATTGGGGGTGCACCACCAAGCTCAGGGCTAGTAAAGGAAATCTTGTCTGCAGGCCGAGGGGAAGGCTCGGCGGGTAAAGTGCTCATTGTGTAAGCCTAAGGACCTAAACTGGGTTCTCAGAGCTCACACAGAAGAATAGTGTGGCAGTTCCCATCTCTGATTCCAGCACTGGGCGGGAGAGATGGAGATCCTGGGATCTTGCTGGCCTGCTAGTCTAGCCGATTGGTGAGCCCCAGGTTCAGTGAGAGACTCATCTCAAAAAATAAGGAAGGAGAGGGGTTCAGTATGAGTGGGAGGGGATAAGAGAGGGTAATGAGAGGGTATGTATGATCAAAATACATTATATAAATGTATTTTGAAACTGTCAAATAATGATTTTAATATATATTAAAAATATATATAGAGATAGAGGAAGATGTCAAATGACAACCTCTGATGCATGGGGGTGTATCTGCACATTTATACAAATACCATGCTCACACAGGCAAATCCCCTTCACACACTAATCTCGTCTATAGGTTGCATGTGGTTTGTGGGTCAAGTGTCTATGATTTCTGGCTTTTAACCATCTTCAGCGTAGCTAAGTCAACCTCATTCCTTATTGATCTCAACTGGAAATCAATTCCATTTTCCCAGGAAATGAAGCACAGAATAAGCAGCATGGTTGCTAAGCTTGGAAGGCCAATTCCTATATCAGGCACTCACAAGCGAAGGCACAGCAGAGCGTGGCTGGAGAACTTGCCACTTTGCACGAAGCATCTGGCCACTTGTCCTCCTTAAAGCTCGTGTATCTTAACAGTTTACTCTTTGCTTGGAGGACAGAAGTCAGCTGGTAGCTGTCTGCAGTTGCCTTGGAGTGCTCTCTCCGAGACGTACCGAGTGCTAGTGTGTGCTGCCAGCATCTCTACTGCTTCTGGCCTTTCTGTGAGGACAGAAATAGCTTCCTGATCTGCTTAGAACATAAGGTGGGCTCAACTGTCTCTTTTCTCTTTCTAGCTTCTGTCAAGTACTAAGTAATGAATCATGACTCTCAAACTGTTCAAACACTAACAGAGAGTCAGAGAGAGAGAGAGAGAGACAGAGAGAGAGAGATAGAGAGACAGAGACAGACACACATAGAGAGACAGAGGACATGTGAGCAATGACAAGGTGGTAGGGAGACCTGGCTTGGAACAAACAGTGCCAACTTCACATCACCTTTGTTTTGTTTTGCATTGTCTGAGATAGGCCTCGATATGCAGGTCAGGTTCACTTTGAACTCGCCAAATGGCCTAAAGACTGGCCTCAAACTCCTGACCTTTCTGCCCCAGTCTCTGGAGTGTCATGGTTACCAGTGTGTGCCATCAAATCTGGCTCACTGGGGCTGAGTTTTAGTGTTCTGCTTCTGTGCAGCTCATGCCCTTGCCTTGGGCAGCAACGCTGACACAGAACTCTGGACTGTGGCTAGGCAGCCTCTCCCCCGAGAGCTAAGAATGAGCTCTTTTCTTTAGGGGAGGCTAGGTAGGTACCAACATAGTTCAGCTCAAACATGAGCCCTGGCTCATCTGTCGAGAAAAGGCCACTCTCAGCAAAGCAAAAGCTACTTGTGAACACATGGCTCTACCCAGACTCTGACATGTCGTTCTTTAAAATCTAAATCGCTGAAAACAGGGCAGGATTCAAGTTCAAACCCCATGACCCCAGCCAGCACCACTAGAACCCTCCATAATGAAATGTAAGGTATTGCCCTAGACCATAAAATGGTTCTCATTTATTTTGCAATTGTCCCCATTGTTGTTCAGGGCTCTGCCTTCCTTGAAAACCTTGCAAGAGAAAGAGCGACTCGAATGGCCGGAGCATGCACCTCCTCTATCCTCTTTCAAAGACTTTGGATTTGTTAGAATCCTACCAGCCAGCCTGGTCGGGATAGGAGGCTGCTGCAGATCAGTTATCTGTTTTGAACTTTCCTGCTTCCTGCCTCATTTATCACCGCTAAGCAGCTGGGTAGAGCTGGAAGACTTCACTGTCCCATCCATCTCTACTTATCTCTGTCGATGACTGCTTAATAATTGATAGAAAACTCATGAATCACCTTCACATTCCAATTTTCAAATACCAGGACTTCAGACGCCCATTTTCTTGTGTTTGAAACATGCTTTTCATAGAGCAAACTTTTGCTGCTCAAGACAGGGGGACTTCTGTGAGCCTCGAAAGATGGGGAACCGGGCACAACCGTAAGCTAGCAAACGTCGCTACAGCAACCTCATCCCAAATCATGATTGACAGAAATCAATTCTTTCACCATAGATAAGTTTCTAGGACAACTCAATATTGCACTAAATTTCATTTCAATATAATTGCACTGCCGAGTAAGAAACTAAAACCTGAAGTATTTTCCCTCTAATTTCTATATGGGTGGTGATAAAACACACACTGGCTAAGAAACAAAAGCCCCAAACAGTGCCTGGGGTCAAATGTGGTTAAAGGGTTTTCTAAAGGAAACCCCGTGAGGTATGAGACTGGCCGTGCTCCCCACCTATTTGTGCTGATTTAATTTCCACAACACGGTGGCCTGCTAACCCTCTTTCTAGCTCAATTGGCGCTGCGAAGACTGACTTTTTTCTTTTAAAAAAATCAATCTGGGGATCTTACAAAAGTTTCACACTAGTAATTTTCTACATCAAGTCTCTATTTACCTGAACAATGGCTATTGACTCGGCAGTTGTATTCACAAGACGGGAGGCTGAGGGGGAACAGAGGGAGTTCTGAAATTATGGCCTAGTCTCCCACAGTGTCTCACCAGGCTGGAGTCAGAACAGAGTACCTGGTCAAAAGAGATGCATGTGTGATTGGGTGACATATGGACTGGGGTGGCATTTTGATCAAAAGGACAATGTGGTTTATACTCAGAGTCCCAGGGTCCACTGGTGGAGCCATTGTACTGTCCAGGTCGCTGGTACTGCCTCTAACATCAATCATGGTGATAGAAATGAATGGGTAATGAGGTCAAGCCTTATCTTTCATCTAAAACACGTCCCAAGGATAGGGAACCATCTGCCCTACTGTATTGGCCATTTGGCTCTGCCCACTCAAGCCTGAGCTTTCCTCCTGATGATCAAGTCCACTCTTGGCTGTTTTTGTATCTTTGATTCAGACAAGGATGTTTGGAAGGATGGAAGGTTCACCCCACAGCATACCACAGTAGTGAAATGGTAGCAGTTGCTAGGTTTCTGTAGGAAAAAGTGGGAGCATCACTCTAGGTGAGGTGTCTTGACTCATTGGCCATGGGGGCATCAGGAGAATGGACATGTGCACCCTTGCTATTCCTCATAGGAAGCTCTAGTCAGGCTGGCCATGGCCTTATGGATCATTAAACAAAGGGAGAGCTTTGGGACTTGACAGGGGAATCAGTTACTCCTGTCTCTGTGAGACTGTGGTCTCCTTTCCCAGTCTTGGGTCTCAGTTTTAAGTCAACACCCATGTTTTCAAGTCAGGTTTTCTTGGGTAAGCTTTTGTAACTGAAATAGTGTGTTGTGGTCCACCAAGAGGCAAGATACGAGCTAC